AAAAAAAAAAAAAAAAGGACCTGAAGCAAAAGTCTTGAGACTGGTGAAAGATCAGAGAGGCTTAGCCTAAGCACACATAGTTGTGTGCTCATGTATGTGCTTATATACTAAGAATACACTGAAATCTTCAAAATCTTCAAAGGAGGAGAATTCAGAAACTAATGTTGTTTAGTCATGAACAATTTGTCATCCTTAAGAATGGACCTGTTCCATAATCTACCTGCAGAAACAGCTGGCGCAGCCAAAGGAACATAAATAGATGGAGGCAAACCAGCATGGATTAAGCAGACTGTGTGTCAATTCTAGCTCAGCCAGGGTTGTAAAATTGTGGTGGTGGTGGAGAAAAAAAAAAGAATGGGAATTGGGTTCTTGTAATTGGTTAGTTATTGAAGAAATATAGCACATAAATCCATAGGAAACCAGGCTTCAGTAGCCCTGCTGTAGGCAAAACAACTAGTTTATGTTGTTGGTTGTACTCCTGTGCACTTTCACACTCAATTTTGGGGCCTCGATGATTTGTTATAACGAACCTTCACAAACGAAGTATGTAAGAAAAAAACTCCACGTATCTAGTTTAGATGCACTTTTTTTTTCTATCGCTTTTAGACAGAAACAGTTAATGTAGGAGGCTGATGAACACAGAAGGGCAATGAACTGCATCTATTTGTTACTCTACAAACTTAAATTACAACCTTTCATTAACTTCTAAACAAAAGAATCTACCCTCTTAGGCTCATATGACATCACTTTGTGCATCAAACATTTCATCCAACATTAAAACTCAACTTTTCTTCAAAGTGGCACTCAGTAATTTAAGCAGAATACAAGACAAATCACAGATGACTTACAAACCCCTCCCTGCAGCTGCGTTTTAAGTTTCTAAATGCTGTTCAGAGTATCAGTGCTAAAGCCCTCCTGCTCTTCTTCCTAAAGGTGCCAGAAAGCTGGAAGAGCACAGAGGGGATCTCATTATCCACATGCAACTTAAAGGACAACCTTGCGATAACACAGCCCAGATGGGAGGCGATTCCCCCCTCACATTCTGCTTTTATGCGGCACCTTCATTTTCCTTCAGTATATTCAGATACTGTCCAGGTTTAGCAGTTTTGCCTGGGACACATGAAGCTCAGAAGCCCACATTTTTTTATGCCTTGAATCTAAGGCAAAGACAGCAACACAACATTCACGGACTGGGGAAAACAAAAAGGGCAGGGCAGTGGGAGCAAACGGAGTCTGGCTCCATTCCGCCTGCTCGGCTCCCCTGCCGCGAGTTCAGCCTCATCATTCGATCCGCAGTTCATTTATTTTCATTTCATTTCACGGGCTTTGGCTGGAAGGAGGGTGGTCCGCAGTTACAGAGGGAAGGAACGAAAGGAAAGATATGGAAAGGAGTGCACTGATGAAATTTTCTCACACCGAATACTTCACATACACCAAGAGGGGCATGGAACTGTCTTCGTTCCCCTACCCTGCTCCTTTCTTTCTAGGCTAGTTCCCAGGCTCCTTCCTTCCTAGGCTAAGCTTCCTTCCTAGCTAGTTCCTATGCTAGTGCCCAGCCTCTCCCTCTGCACTCCCATGTCTTAGATATGCCCTGCAAATAAATGGCAACGAGCCACTGACTGCACCTTGAAAAATGTCTCCTGCCACATTCTGGAAAGGAGAGCTTTATGAGAACTCCTTGGTTTCAGGCTTCCATTTCCTATCCTTCAGGAGACAACCACAAGCACCAAACAGCTGGAGCAGGGTTTCTTTTTTTCCACTCAACTTTCCGAAGTTTGCAAGCACAGAACCGAAACAAGCCTATGTAAACCAGATCGGCAGACTCCGACCTAGGAAAACAGGTATCTGATCTCTTGACTGCTTCAGTATCTGGTCTATCTGCATCTGCATCAACACCAAAGCAGTCTGAGGTAATGACCATGCAACTACGCACAGTCTCTCTGTAGCAGGGACATGCTCTAAGCTAGAAATGCACCTTCTCTTTACACTGACTTGCCCTCCTAAGCCTACCGTAAAATCAAACCAGTGTGTTGATGTGTTTCACCTCACTGCTAATGAGCTAGTGAGACTTTCACAGGAAATTATTTCCTCAAGTGCAACACAGATGAATGATACAAAGAGAATGTGTTGCCTAGATCATACCTTATATAGAATAGAAATAAATCCAAAATTCTTGTTCTTACTTTGTAGCTTTTTTTTTTTTTTAAAGTATTTGGGCACATAAAGTAACAAGGATATTCAATATTTGGGATAGCAAGCTTGCTGGGATCTACACAGCTTTCAGAATCTGCTGACTTGTCATAAATAACATTATGAAAGGCTGTGTGTGGAAACATCTCCCACAGCCTGTTCATTTTGTGCATGGTACTAAACACTCATCCTGAAGAGGCTGCCTCTAACCAGACTTGTTAAGATCCAGCCAGACTTATCAATAAGCAGGAGGCTGAGAAGTCCACACATTTTTTTCCCAAGTATTTGAGCTCTCCCTTTTCCTCTGTAGCCCATTTTCCTGGAAGCAGTGCCCTCTCTCAGCAAAAGTGACCAGCCACATGTTTGCAGGGCAGCCACCACAGCCAAGGGAAGCAGCTGCTGTCAAGGGAAAAAAAGCCAAGAGAAATGTTGTCATCCATAACACAGAGTTTCAGTATTTGTCTTTCAGACCAATTATTCTGGATTCCTGATGGACAGAATGGGCTGTCCGAGAGGTGCTGGAGCTCAAAAAAACAACCTGGGGAGCACTAGATTTTGGAGACTGAAAAAAACTATGAAGATGAACGACTGCAGGTGCACGAGTACAAAGAAACTCTAAAACTCCTCTGTTGATGCATTTCTACCTTCTCTTTGGATAGCTCCATTTATGAAGAACAGTGAATTCTACAGGGGAAATAAACCTCTCTGAATATGTGATAAATATGCTGACTGTACAAGATTTTGCACACGCTGGGAGAGTAAGAAGAGCAAAATGTTTAATCTTGTTTTTGCATAGGTGAAACTTGGGATTGTTTTTTTCAAGTGACAAGATATCAACAGCATTTTTTTTTTTTGTTCTTTTTTTTTTAGAAAAATGACCCTAAACAGTTAAACTTCTCACACACCGAAATCCTCAGAAATCATATCATCTCTCTGATATCAAATAAACTTAAACACTTTAAACTTTTGAAATGTACAAGAGTCACTGAAATAAAAAAAGAAACCCAAAAAGACAAAATTTAAATTGATCTGTGGTCAGGTGGCTGACTAATGCATTAAGTGTTTACAACGTTCTACCCCAGCTTCTCTAAATTTGTTTTCGCTTTTGTGGGAACATCATGCTCAATAGGTACGGATGATCTAAAAGGCAGCTGAAACATTGTCTGGAAAAGGCAGGACACGTTCTGCAGAGCAACTTTTTGTCTTACATTTGTTTTTTAAGCACCGTGGGATCTTCTCGGCATTCGCTCTTTTCTTGTGGCCGGACAGAGCATTATGCTCTTCCTCCTCAAAAAGAGGCATTGGAAAATTTATTAACTTATCCAGTTTATTTATTTAAAATTTAAATTTTAAACTTAATAACTAAAGTGCATCATTTCATAATGTCATAAAACACACAAAGCTTTCCTCACTTTTGCTGGATAGGTACAGAATGATATGCTACATGAAACTGCTGTGTATATGTATTTATCCACTATTGGTTTTTAGACACTTTTTCTATAGAAGAGGTAAAGACATAGATCTGTAAAGCACAGAATAGCCTGCAGAAACTTGCATTTGTATAACTTTATCTTGGCAAATATTTCTTCTTACCGAGCTGACAAAAGGTAAACTAACTTTTTCCTTCCAGCACAGAAAGGCCTTCCCGTAGGAGAAGACCAAATCTGCTAAGAGTCAGGCCCAAGAGTAAAGGAAAGAAACAGCCCATTCGTAGGGAACACTGCTACTCTGGCTGTTTTGCAGCTAATATCATGTCACGGGTTTCACACTTTTCTAGATGTGTTAAAAAATAAGCCTGATTGACTCTACAGACCCTTTATGTTTTAGAAAAGATATCAGCTTTTCCTTATTACACCTTTCCAGATCTTTGACAACCAACTTCGTAGCTAAAGCGTAAATCTAAACAAGCGTAGGTAAATGGCGTCTTTTCACCAATAAGTGACTTTCTTAAATTATGGTCTTGCAAATGGCTATTAATCACCATGTTAGTACACCCAAGCACACACAATTAACTTCATATTCACGCTAAAAGATGTGCTAAGTGTTTATTTTACTAAAGCAAGTAGTGCCGAATTCTCATTCCAAAGAAGCTATAGAAAGGACCCTCAAACTAAAAACAAAGATGCAAGTGATTTGGGGGGGTGATTTACAACTCAGGTAACTGTATCCTCTTTCTTTACAGTTTTGCCAAGGTCTGATTTAAAAGGAAAAAAAAAAATTCTTCTCCCTATACAATCAAAAAAGAAAACCCAAAGCTACCCAGAATTAACAGCATAAGTAAAAACATCATTTAATCAGAAGCTTGAGCATCTTGACATACATTATTTCCAACAAAGCAGAGAATGTCTTTTGCTGATGGTTTTGGCTGCTTTCATGGTATTACTAACACATGCAAAATAATCGTATTCACAAATTGCAAGGAAAAACTACAACTGCATGCAGAAAAATACTTCTCACCTATATCTGCATCAGAACCTCCACTGAATTTACTTGCACCATCTAGATAGTTGCTTTTTGTCAGTGTGAAACCTCAGAAACATCATTTCAATATCACGTGCAAAGTTACAACTCAAAGTTCTCAAGCAGCCTCAAAACTGGAAAAAAATACAAGGCTGTTGTTTTTAAAGGGGGCATGTAGAGCAGGTGGATCTCAGTCTGACCTTCATTCCTTAATTAAATGGAAGGCCACAAGGAACCAGATACAATATTTTTGAGTAAGCCTATCAGCTAACAGTTCTGATACACATTTGTTTATGCTTTCAAATAAAGGAACAAAGTTTGTATTATTATTATTATTATTATTATTATTATTATTATTATTATTATCATTGTAATCAAACGGCATGTTGGAAGTTCATAATAAAAATGAAAAGAATAAAAACAATTGAATTCTTCAAAGTTCTGCAGCTAGTGTTGGGGATATTCCCCTTCAATTAAGTAAGACTCAAAGAGAAACAAAATCTCAAATTTGAGTAGGAGTTACGACAGGATTTACAAACTCCAATCACTTATCAAAGAAACTAACTTCAGCAATAGAGTAGAAAAAGATGGGAGGACCTTGAGGTGGGGAAGCAAAGGCAGAATATGTGCAAAAAAAAGACTCTAGCAGCAGTGAAATAAACATGTTATCATAGAGATGGGGAAAAAAATATTAATTTGTGCTGCACATTATGTCTTCTAATTGGCTGTGTGCATGTACTGGTGAGCCACTACGTGGGGCGAGCTGCAGGTTACCAGGGTCACTTTGCATGGATGTAACTAATGACCATGTCTATTTATTTATTCATTATTTCCATTATTATTTTTTAATGAAGAAACCTAGTAGGGAGGATGCGACACCTCCGTATTCAGCCTGGACACTACTACAAGAACGACCAAGTTGTCGTAGCAGTGAGACCAAATCTTCAACAAGATTTTTGTCTGTGCGCACAAAGACAGTGCAGCTCTTCTTCAGGATCGTTATTCCCTTACTAGACCTGTGGTATGTGGGAGACGGGGAGGGAGGTGGCTCCTGCCGTTCATGGAAGCAGGTGCTCCCGGGGCCAAGGGAGCCCCGTGACACCCATCAGGGCTCCCCCCAGGGCCTTCTTCTCCAAGGCCTGAGGGGCCTGCACGTACCACAGGCCTCCCGACCGCCTCTGCAGCATCCAGAGCTTGAAATCATGTGAAATCCTTTAGCTCAACATATCTGAACGTACTGACAAATCATATGATTCCGCACAACAATTTTAGATGTTTAATTTTTTTTTTTTTTAACTATTAAAATAACATTGGGCAGATCACAACTGTAGGAAGCAGAAAACCCAGCCATGCAAAAGCTAATGGCCTTGCCTAAGCATTCACAGACGTGTCTCACACAGAGACATACTCGAAGATGAAGACATTTCAGTGCTCTCTGTGGCCATTTAGAAAACCACAGACGCACCATTTATTCTTTCTACTGTAGAAAAACAAACATTGTCCCGATAAGAACAATTATTTGAAACAGCAAGCTAAGTTTGAGATCCTTTTTATGGTCAAACAGGAAGGAAAGACAAAGGGATTGCTTTTAATGATCCAAATTACCATTTTTCTTGGTCAATATAGAGCAGTTATAATGGGACTGTGACTTGTATCTGTGTGCCAACCTGTTATTCCAGCAACAGCCAGAGCTTGAGGGCTCTCCTGGCTCCCCTTCAAGAATCCCTCGTGTGCTCAACAATTTATACTCTATTTTCCCTGTTGGTGCTGGGGGTAACTGGACCTTCATGATGGAGTCAGGCCTCCAAACAAGTCGACCTCCTGCTCAGTGAAAGACTGGGGGACACAACCTCACACCATCCATCTCCAGCGTGCCATCCCTAGCAAGCGGCTCTCCTGTTTTCCTGGGAAGCCTCCTCGGCAGCACCGGCACCTCCAAGGGCTCCGCGTTGCCCCAGATGCCTTCAGCACCCAAGTCAGTCAGCGCAGATAGGCCTGTCCTAAGAGCTACTGCAGCCCCAGAGCCAAAGCAGGGGGGACTTAGTTGGAAGCTGTAGCAAGGATTGGAAGAAACTGATTTTCAGGAAAACGATGGGAGAGAAGAATGGATTTTTGCCTTTTCTGTTTGGTTTTTAAATAGATGGCATGGTATTATGGGATGAACAACAGCAAAAAAAATGATTATAAAAGAGAGATACCTGATACTTACAGCATAGCTGACCATTATTGGCTCTTTAATGTAAGAAACTGTGCCAGGCACTCTCCCTCTCTCCGCATTCATATGCACAAATTATAATTTGAATTTAATAAGGAAGTTTCTTCCAACTGTCAAAAATAATCACGAAAGCATTACAGGAAACATTAAAAATAATAAGCAAATTTAAATATCATTAACCAACCTTCTTGTAGTCCATTATGCTTCCTTTTCCTTGTGCCTTAAAGAGAAAGAGAGATTTTATGTAACATTCTAAAAATGAGAGCGGCAAGAATAAAGAACACAGTTAGGATAACTATTATTTTAGACATAATTGATTTCTTTTAGAAATCTGATGGGGGAAAATCCAAAACATTATCAGCCTACATAATAGAGTTCTGTTTCAGATAAGATCTCCAGATACCTAACATAATATTTTTATTATGAGTTCTATTTAAACAGCTTCTTCAATCTAAAGAGTTTTGGTCATAAGAAATTTTGCTGTTGGTATTAATCTACCTCCCCCATAGAACCCTGAGTATAAACTATATCTCAGCTCAGCAATAATAGGATTACAGTTAAGAAAATTCAAGACACCTCTTTAAAGAAGAGAACTACTCCTTATCTCCCACGATTTGCACACAGTTAGCTGTCTAGAGCTGATCCTCTCCACAAGGATGTCAAGACCATGTCAGAGCTATTAGGCCTAGATTAGTCATGCTAATTATGCGTTGGGTTTAGAATTGCACCTAAGTACACAGTGGCACCCTTCACTTAAGCAGTAAACACAGGCAACCTTTACCTCCTAGGATATGCAGAAAGAAGCCTGAATAGAGCTGAGAGTTGTTTTTGCCCAGATGCTGAAAAGTACACAGTCCAAATTCCTCTGTTTTGCCACTGGGCTATGTAGAACATAGCACGTTTATGTCTTTTTCACCCAGTTACAGTAAATGCCAGACCCAACACATTCCTGCCTGGCCACCTTGCAGCCCTTTCCTGTGGCCAAATCGAGCCGTATCATTATCACCTTGTCCATCTCCAGCTGTTCCCTCTTCAGGCACACAGGAAAAAACTATCACTGCTACTTCTTTCCCTGTAAGCTCCACATGGGAGGGCCAAAAACCTCAGTTCCTCTGGAATGTGTCTTGTGAAAGGATGTAGGTGAGGACCACGACCTCTCCAGGGCCTCTGTGGACACTTCAAGGGCTGTCCCAAGAAAGCAGTCAAGAGGAGGAGGTGGCCTATGGAGGAAGAGCTGAGGCCTGCACTGAAGAGGAAAGCTAAGCCTGGCTTTGAAGAGATGCTATTGAGGTCCACAGATTTGGAATAGGAATTCTGTCTTATAAAGAAGAATTGCTGTCTTGTAAGACCGACAAAATTGAGCAAAGAACTGAGGAGAAATTAAGCAAGCAGAACAGGAAGGAAAGCAGTAGGTAAAAAAAAAAGACTTAATTGAAGGAGAGAGGAGACTGATCCGCAAAATCATTTCAATACCCTCTTTAAGCTTCTCCTAAAAAAAAAATTCAGTTTTTCTGAAATGCCTGTTAAGAAAACAGCCTTACATCATCTGGGAGTAGCAAAACCACTGCCAATAATTGCTTCCTTGTTTGTGAATTCCCATCTCTTGATTTGCCAACTTTCATTCACGCTGCTTGGGTCTTACGGCTGCTTCAAAACATATTTCGTAGTTATAGCGTGTACGAGAACATACCAAGAACATGTTCTCTGACTGCTGCTATGCAGATGCACAGTCGAGGAAGATGCCTTTTATTCTTAGTAATATCTGCCAAGGTGTGCTCAGCACGTCTTCTCTTGCATATAATACAGGTTCCAAACAGCCAGGGAGTTTCTTCATGCTCCCTTCCCTCCAACCTTCAAGGAGGTGGCAATTGCAGAACTGTCACTGCCGTTCTCCAAGCAACAGCTTCAGTGATCTCTTCTCTAAGACTTCTTTACTACAATTCCATTTCTGCTTCTTTCTCTTTTTCCCAGTCTTCCTTTTACATCAGACTTCTGTGCCTGCCTTAGCTTCTGCAAAGGCATCTAGGCTGTTGTGCAGGATACAGGCTCTTGTGCAGCGTGGGTAACCCCCCAGATGTCATCTCAGGTGCCTCACTGCTGGGCCAGGTGGCTCAGGCTGGGAATGCTGGGTCTCCAGCTTCTCCTCAAGGAAAAGCATCCTCTTATCACCACATTTGAGAGGGAACGGCCAGCTCGGCTCAGCCTTCCTGCTCCGCACCAGAGACTGCCACATGCCAGAAGTGAGGAATACCTCTACCGTGCTGCTCTGCGGTAAATGAGGTGCTGTGATGCCTACTCCCCTGGCCAGAAAGAAGGCTCCCCGATTTCCAAAAAAATCAACTCAAAATGCATCAATCCCGTATGTCCATAGTGAGTGTGACCATAGATGGTATCCCCAAAAGCTTGTAGTTATTAAAAAGATAATTGACTTTTCTCAGGTAACATAAGCCAAGAGGCTCCCTGACTAGGTCCTCCACTTTGTATTTAACAACAGTGGCAGCTGATACTTTCGCATAGTGCCTGCCATTTTTTACCCCTTCCCTTTCAGTGAGAACTGCTTCATTGTGTCTGTGACCCCCATTTTTGGTATAAGAATTAGCAGGCACACAGACAGCATTCCTGGAATTCTGCAACCCTCTCTAGATTCTGCAGATGGGAAATTGTTTCAAAGCTTTAATAAGCTGTAGTAATGTATAATGCTGTAGTAATATCATTATTCTCCAGCTGCAATCATCCAAATTCATTTACATTCAACTTGCATATCAGCCTTGTGTTGAGACTGCAGAATTCCAAAGTTCCTAGTCACACATTAAACTACCAGTCCCTAGTTTCAAGATGACAGAAGTTCACTTTGGTTTGACAGATTTTCTCCCTGCTCCTCTGCACCACTGTAAGGTTAAGGAGGTTGCAGGTATTTGGCCTGTTCAGCTTGGAGAAGAGAAGGTTGAGAGGGGATCTTATTAAAATGTATAAATACATGAAGGAGTACATTGTAGGGAGGAGGGGGCCAAGCTTTCCTCAGTGGTGGCCAGTGACAGGACAAGGGGTAATGGGTGCAAGCTGAAACACAGGAGGTTCCATCTCCAGGGGAGGAGGAACTTCTTCCCTGTGAGGGTGCCAGAGCCCTGGCACAGGCTGCCCAGGGAGGCTGTGGAGTCTCCTTCTCTGGAGATCTTCCAAACCCGCCTGGATGYCACCCTGTGCCCCGTGCTCTGGGTGTCCCTGCTGGAGCAGGAAGGTTGGATTAGATGGTCTCTAGAGGTCCCTTCCAACCTTGAAGATTCTGTGATTCTGTATTTTCCCACAACCCTCACTACGGAAGCAACCTTGCTTCAGGTCTGCAGTACATGAATTCAGACTGAAACCTGGCAGTCAGAAATAGAGGAGTAAGAGGCCCTCAATTCCTGGCCTGTGCCCCCCAGTTCTGCTTTCAAAATGGAAAGAAGCAGGTCTGGAATTAATATGCTTGCAAAGAACTAGCTTTTTTCTTTTTTTTTATCAAAGAAAGTATTCCTTCTGCTCAAGAATCTGTATTAAGATGGCAGGAACTGCCAAAGGTCACTCACAGCTTTCTGATGGGCTACCTTCTGCAGTGGTCAGGAAGCCACGATCCCCAGCTCATTTCCCCCCATCACGTTACTGCTCCCAGGTCAAAGTTGGCAGAATAAAACGTGTGTCTCATTCAACTACTGTGCTGCCAAGATCTTTGGTTTAAGCTGTGAGTGAAAGTAGCCTCAAGCTACTAGTATGTGGGACTTCGCATAAGTCCTGAGGAGCAAGCATGTGTCTTGTGTCAATGCATCTGCCTGTTACCTCTTCCATCATCGCACTGAAGGTTGACAGAGCTCGTTTGTCCTTGTCCAGCACTTCTCCTCTCTTGAAAGCATGAGAGAGAAATGTGTAAATGTGGCTGAGCAGAACTGCTCCATGCTGTTCTCTCTTTTGTTAGTTTCTGAGCTTCTTTGTAGACTGAAAATGTAGATAGGAAGGAAAGATCCAAATAGCAAAACTAAGAAATTTTAAACAATGAGTCAATTTACCTCTTTAATCTGTTTAATCCATGCCTCTCTTCCAAGGAATTCCTGATGCAGGACTGCAGGAGCAGAATTTAAACTGAAGACCACAGTGTCATTAGAACTTTCTTTAACGAATGGTTGAAGGTCTGAATGTAGCTGAAAGAAAAGAATATATTTCTTCAAATACTAGATGAAGTTCTATCCCATCCACCCCTCACCTCAAGGTCTATATCCTCCTGACTTCACAGCTAATTACCATCTTTGTCATTAACAGGTGTATCTTGGTTCCACTACCAACAAGAAGGAGGCAGGGAGGGAGGGACACACGCCCAGCTCTGAGACACCTACAAGAGCGTGCAGGGAGCAGGGGCTGGTCTCCCCACCTGAGATGCAAGGGCAACACAAACATGTCTCTGCACGGGGCCACTGACCCACCGGAGAGGGCGAGCAGGGACCTCAGACCTGCACGGCTGTCTTGGCTCAGCCCCATGGGCCCTGGGGTCTCTGGGGGACCTCACACTGCTGCAGCAGCCCAGATGCTGCTGTCCTCACCAACCTCCTCCCTCCTTATCCCCCAGCTCTCCCCAGCACACAGTCGTCTCCACAGCCGACCTGTCAGGAGGGGACAATTGCTGGGACTTTGGCCACTGCAGCTCCCACCTCGAGTGCTGCTGCAGACGGCTGGGCCTCTTGGTACCAACCTCTGTGCGAGCTGAGGGTCCTGCTCCTGGCATAGCAGCTTTGGGAAGAAAGCAGGAGCACAGAAGGAAAGGGCTACAGGAAGAGGCATCAGAGGACCCTTTGTAGAGCCCTGAAGGAAGCACTGCTCAAAGAGGGATGTGGCCAGCTCGCGAGCGGTGTCGCTGATCTGGCAGCCAAGGCCTATGGCCCAGCACGTGGTGGGACAGAGCACAGAGGCCTACCTTGTGGCTCATGGACATGTGCTTCCCGTACTGGAAGGCCATGTCCTGCATCTCCGCGCTGTGCTTGGCCAGCTCCATGGCGGCCTGGCAGCTCTTGGCCAGCAAGGCACTGTGCGAGAGGAAAACCTGCTCCTTCCAAGTCGATATGCCGATGTCGTCCGTCAGGCAGTTTTCCTGAGAATGAAACAAAGGCCAAACTGAGAAGGGCAGAACTGCAGCTGTATCAGATGGCAGGGGGTAGCAGCGCTGCCCAGGAGAATGCAGGACATGGCAAGGAACCAAACTCCGGGTGCCCAGGCTGCATGAAGGGCATGCTCCAGGGCAGGGTGGAGAAAACATGGTCCTGGGTGTGCTAGTGGCACAAATAACACTCAGGTTTCCTGCTCAGAAGATCCACAGAAACACACGGAGCTGTCAGCGGATTGTGCACAGACCCTTTCCTTAATGCCTGTATCACTGCACTGAATGCCAACAGCCTGTGGCATTCCTACCGAGAGGGGAGGGAAAAAGCAAGCAGGGCACATCAGCATCTAACCTCTTATCCATTAAAAACAAACAAACAAAAAAACAAACGAGAAATAGAAACAAATCCAAAAAACCTCCAAAACCTCAGTCAATCAGGGAATGGCATTTCTGAGTTACTGAAACTTCTCCTTTGTAGTTAAAAGAAATAAAATAACAAAAGGTTTTAAAAATACTTAGTAGGACTGCACTGAAAAAAAAAAGAAAAAAAAAAACGAAAAACAAAGTGTTTAAAATAAAATTATGCTTTAGAAATACCAAGTATTAATTTTCCCACAGGACTGTCAAGAGATCTCGGTGAGGCTGGTGGTGAACTTTTTCACCTTGACTGTAAGGTCAAAGATGCTCAATATTTCTCAAAGTCATTCTGTATACAAAAGAGCAATGAGAATTACTTTGCACAGAACTGTGTTTTCATTAGCAGGAACCCAATCCCTTCTCCCTCAACCCCAAATTCAACTGCAGCTCTTCGGTTCACGTGGTGCCAGCCTTCAAGGCTGGACATGATCTGTAATCTCTCACACACATGTAACTTGTGCCTTTAGGTACTCTCTAAAGAGAATAAACCAAAAAAAGGGAAAAGACCACAAAGATTCTTCTACTTAGAAAAAAATTAGTAATGAGAAACTACAGAGAAATTTCAGGAATGTAAATGATAAAAATAGGTTGTAATTTCTCAGCTCACTCAAATCTACAGCATGCGCTAAGCCAAAATGATGCTCTTTAAAGGAATAATATATAAAAAAGAACACACATACAACTTTTCTCCTCAAAGTGGTGTCAATTAGACTACTTAGAAATGAGTGAGAACTCATTCCGTGTGACCCTACAGTTTTCTAGCAAGGTATTATCTGTCATGAAATTGGTAACAAATGAAACAGAATCCATCCGTTCAGCTCCGGCCCTGCTCCCTTATGGGTATCACCCAGAAGGGCTGTGTTACAAGGCAGAAGATAATATGAGACTAATGGGAAAAGTAGGAGAAGGCTGCAATGCCAAGTAGCACAGTGTTGTATCAAAATCCCTCTGCTTTCCGACACACTATTAACTTATACGAGGAAAGGAAGAAGGGAAAAAAAAGCAAGTTTGCTATTAGGCATGTGATAACTTATAAAGTGAAGCCTGAGCTTTCCTTATGCTTTGTTTTACTGTAGTATTTTGGTTTTAATATCTTAACTCAGCCCAGAGAATGTGCAGATTCCCATGGCTGGCACAATGTCAAAAGGAGCATTTAATTCTAGTAGCTTCCTACGTATCAAGTTGTTTTTCACTCAGATATAGATCAATTTATTTTAAAATTAAAATCAGGAGCTCTTGGAAGACGCCACACCATCTTTTCCTTAACAACCAATCTGCTCAGAGAAAAAGCAGGATATTTACTAAAACTTGCTGGAAGATAGACTAAAAATTGGCAGTGATTTTTATAATCCATCCCAGGCAGAAAGAGACTAGTAAGGTAAGTTGAAGCCGTTAAAGAAATGACTGAAGTCCTTCAGCAGACCTGCACATTTAACATGTTGGCATGTCTGAGCCTCTGAAAAACTACAGGACTTTATCAAATGCCAATTGCAACAACTAAAGAGATTGAACAGTCATTCACATTCCTACAATCTATTAGAAAAAGTATATTCTTCTCCAGGAAGTTTGAGTTTAATCACTTAACAGAAAGGGATGGCATGACAAGTTACTCTCCACTATTAAAACCCATTAATTGACTATGGCTCAGCTACAAAAAAAGCCCAACTTTGCTCAAACTGCACAGTTTGCTGAGCTTTTAGAGACCCCCTTTACATTAAAGGAATCAAAATAGGCTTATTTTCAGATTCACAGATTCACAGAATATTTAAGGTTGGAAGGGACCTCTACAGATCATCTAGTCCAACCTTCCTGCTCAAGCAGGCACACCTACAGCATGTGGCACAGGGCGGCATCCAGGCGGGTTTTGAAGACCTCCAGAGTAGGAGACTCCACAACCTCCCTGGGCAGCCTGTTCCACTGCTCTGTCACCCTAACAGTAAAGGAGTTCCTCCTCACCTGGAGACGGAACTTCCTGTGCTCCAGCTTATGGCCATTACCCCTCGTCCTGTCACTGGTCACCAGTGAGAACAGCCTGTCCCCTTCCTCCCTGCATTCTCCCTTCCTGAACTTATACATATTAATCATATCCCCTCTGAGCCGTCTCTTCTCCAGAGAAAACAGGCCCAGCTCACTCAGCCTCTCTTCATACGAGAGATGTTCCATTCCCTTAATCATCCTGGTTGCCCTTCTCTGGACCCTCTCCAGAAGCTCCACGTCCCTCCTATACTGGGGTGCCCAGAACTGAACACAGTACTCCAGGTGCGGCCTCACCAGAGCTGAGGAGAGGGGCAGAATCACCTCCCTTGACCTGCTGGCAACACTCCTCCTTCCTTATAATTTTAACAAATACATTGTTTTGTGGGAAAAAAAAAAAAAACCTTAACATCCACAAGACTTTATTACAGGCTATTTGAAAAAAGATTTGCTGGGTTTTATAGAAAGGAAGTAACAAGCATGAGTATGTCATGAAGCCCATATAAGATTTGCAAGCATCTAAACCAGGCTTTGAAACCAGGCTTTGAGAGACATAGTCAAAGGTGCGATATTACAAACACAGATACTGGAACACACAGTTTTGAAGAAAGAAGGATGTTTTTTAGAAAAGGCAGCCCCATACAGGCCTGCACCAACACATGAGCTCGCGAAGCAAAAACAGAGCTGATTCTAATCACAGAAAGGCCTCTGACCACAGACCTCTCGGTGTCTGCCGGTTAAAAAGGCAGAGACGACCTTTCTTCAGTGACATTTTCCAACACCCCAAGGGCTGTTTTTTCCCAGCACAGCTCCCATGTTACACAACAGCCCATCAGCTCTGTTGTATTTTTTTTTTTTTCACGGCAATGTGATGTACAACAAGATCTAAAAATCATTTTCAAACATCAAGGGGCAAAAAAGAAACTACCTCTAGACTGCAGAGCTGAAGCCGTGCCAAAGCATGGCATTTTTATAAAAGGCTTCACTTTTTTTTTTTGTTTTTCCAATGTGGTTTGGTCAGCAGAGGGTATTTGGAAGGGTGAACAGGGACACAGGTGTCAGTTGGCCCAGAGGATCCATTGTATTTTTCCACAGAAAAGCCTTTGAAGTCACATCACCAAATCCATTTCAACCAGCACTTTGATGTTGCGTTCACTAGAGCCTCATCAAGAGGTCCTGTCGCCAAGAAATGGGTCCAGGTGGCAGCTGGGATGCCGTTTGGGCAGCAGACACGGGATGCTCGAAGCTGACGCTCTGGCTCCATCCCTGAGGAGAGGCAGTTCCAGGCAGAGCTCCCTGGTGCGGCGAGGCCAGGGCTGCAGGACACCAGCACCCAACTCCATCAGTCTCCCTTTCCCCCACGAGCTTCACTCAGTTAAACCAGCCCTCGAGAGCCTAACAACACGCTTGCTTTTCCCCTGTTAACCTCCTGACAACTCATTTACCTTAATGGCTTGAAAACTTCAAGTAGAAAATTGTGATACTGCTTTCCAATTCAACAGGAATCAATGTTTTTCTTTTTTTTTTTTTTTCTTTTTTTTTTTTTTTCTTAAGAGGTTTTCAAGGCAGTAATTGCATAAGGAGAAAGTAAGAACAGGTGCTCCCACCGTACTAACGTCAAGTTCACGAGCTGTTTTGTTGCAAAGAAATTGGCTGGTGCAGACTTTGCTGCCAGGCTATTTCTGCAGTTTAAATCCAGTCTGGAAAATGATCCAAGGAAACAAAGGAGCTTTTAGAAGACGAAAGGATGGGGCAAAATATATATTCATAAGCAATCAAGAAGGGCTGCTCTCATCAGTTACATTAACAAGGATGCCCAACACAGAAGTGGCACTTAATGTAATTTGTTACTCTAGAGAAGACGCTTACAAGCAGTTTGTCTGCAAAGGTATTCAGGAAATGAGGAGAAGGATTTATTTTATTTTATTTTATTTTATTTTATTTTATTTTATTTTATTTTATTTTATTTTATTTTATTTTATTTTATTTTATTCAAAATCATCTGCAAACCCAGAAAAGAGAAATTAGAGGGCTTTTCGAAGTAAAACTTATATACACAGATATATCAGCTCACTACTCAAACAAGCTAGACCAAAGAATGACCGAACAGAAAGTACTAAAATGGGGACCGCATGTGGTTTTACAGAGGTGAAAATAAAAGAAAAAAGAAAAAAATCCAAAGCATTTATGAGAGCTGTCAAATAATTATATCCTCTATATGTCTTCAGGAGTAAGTAAGGTCAGTCTAATCAGGGCACAGAATACTTTCAATTTTCCTAGAGGGTCATTTAAAGGCAGCAAAAAATTCTTGTGGTAAACATGAACTTTGGGTCTTAGAGGAGAAAGGGGATTTTTGCTGAGCTATTTTTGTCTAAAGTAAAAGACAAAGCGATCTAGGTAGCTGATTAGCCAAGCTCAAAGCAACTCAGTGCTAAATAGGAATTTAGTCTATTTTATGGCACTGAGTAATTTATAACACCTGTACTAAAGGCATATTTAACAGCTGGGGGCAAATTTAACATTCTTCTCTGCCTAAAAGTAATTAAAAAAAAAGCTATCTGCTTTTCTAAATGTAAGAGATTCTGTGAAATGAAAATGCCACTACAAACACCCTCATGTCCTACTGTCACCAGCAAAAATAAAGTTTGACATTTGGGACTCATTTGCAGACGCTTAAAGCACTTGACCTATCCCTGGGAAATTTAGGTCGGGACTATGGCTGGGTCAACCTGCAGTTAGGTGTGGAGGGAAGAAGCACCGTGGCCACCAGCGGGATGGAGCAGCAGCTGGGCTGGCGCCTCGGGCAGGCCTCGCCATGAGCTGCGAGGACGTGATGAGGTGCAGGACGGGCCACGGCCTCAGCACAGGGTGGTGGGGAGGGCAGCGCTGGACGGGTTTGTACACTGCCCTGAGCCAAATTTCTCAAAGGACAAGATCGAAAGAATTGAAATAGATCCAGGACTTGTCTGTCCCGGATCTCTAGGTCTCATCAGAAGCCATATACAGCCCATTATAAAAACCAAATTTCAGCCGCTTTCAGTGGTACTTCTAGGCCATCAGACTAATCACAGAATCACAGAGTGGTTGAGGTTGGCAGGGACCTCTAGAGATCATCTAGTCCAGTTTCCCTATTTATGTGGCACAGGGCGGCATCCAGGCGGGTTGGGAAGGTCTCCAGAGAAGGAGCCTCCCTGGGCACCTGTGCCAGGGCTCTGGCACCCTCACAGGGAAGAAGTTCCTCCTCACATGGAGATGGAACTGCCTGTGGTGCAGTTTACACCCATTACTCCTTGTCCTGTCACTGACCACCACTGAGAAGAGCTTGGCTCCTTCCTCCCTATATTCTCCCTTCGTGTACTTATATATATTGATCAAATCCCCTTCTCAGCCTTCTTTTCTCCAGAGAAAACAGGCCCAGCTCACTCAGTCTTTCCTCATACAATGGATGATAATTGTGTTTTGAACTAACTGGCTTCCTTTTAGGAAGTGTCTCCCTGCATCCTCAGCTCTTGTGAGCCAGAAGAGGTCACCACTTTTATGAAACAAAACCAGTCTTCTGTGTAAGCGGGGCAGGGCAGGCAAACAGGGTGCCCCGCACCGCCCCGCGCCCATGCTGCGGCTGCTCCAGGATGATCCAGCTGCTCCTGCCAAGACTGCCGGCTCAGCGTGCTGCCAAGCCTACAGAAAGGCAGCTAAGAGCTCGTGCAGGGCTGGCACCCAATCGAGACCACAGCATTTCCCATCTACACAAAGGCTATGGCTAAAATAAAAGGCATTAGGATTACAGAGTCGTGACGAGGTAGTCGCATGGCTATGAAAAACTAGCAGACCTGTGTTTCTATGCACACAAATAGTTGCTGTTTTCATCCAAATCCATCATTAGAAACCTGCTTGGCTCCTGAAAATACAATCTTAAAAGGCAAAAATGTGAGAAGTGCCATTTAGTTGAGCACGCAGCCCCAAGCACAGTGCTAGCCTGCAGCCCTGGAGGCTGACGCGCTGCCCGTTCCCACTCCAGCGCTGCGGCATTCCCGCACGGCAGCTCGGGATGCGGCTGTGCCGGGCGAGCTGTGCTGCCCGCGTCCATCCCGCTCCGCTCCTCTCCTGCCACACGGGAGCCCTTGGGCAGAGCTGATTCCGAGCGAGTGATCGTTCCTGGACGGGCTTCAGCGAAAACAGGAAAGCTTAAAGCAGGCTGGCTATAACAAGGCTCTCACGTGGTGCAATCCTGGTCGTGCGGTGCCCACGGGCTCCTCCAGGACACACGTGAGTTCCTGCTCACCCTGCCTGCCCGCACTGCCGCCATGGTCAGATTCATCATCCGGCCTCGCACCTAGTTCTGATTTATTTTTATCATGCTGAGATAGGGCAACAATAAGCCAGAGTGACAATCTAAATGCACACCAAATGTATGTGAGTATTAACACTTCTGCAGTCTTCCGAGCACCTTACCTCCTGAACTTGGAGATTCACATCCCTGAGAAAAACTAGGCATGTGAGGAAACAGCAATAGAAACAAATCTTCAGTGTAATCTAAGATAACCATATATAAACACTAGTTTATGATCGTTCCTAGGCAGTGATAATTTGCTATGGGAAAACCTGCACTGGCAACGATGACTAAATTATGGATTTATTTTTTGGAGACTTTAAGTTAGAATCATGAACAATGCAACAGGGATCTCCATTTTGCTTCACCATCCTGCCTGAGCAAACCCAATTTTAGAAGGGTCTCAAAGTTTCCTCAAAAGTTCAGTTAAAGACAAAAATTCCTGTAATGCAGAAAGTTGAAGTAATAGCACAATACTACCGGGACTACCCTTGCCCCTGAAGAAATACCTGAGTGGTTGGTGTGAATATATAATTGCAATTTGCTTTCCCATGCAGCTCCTGGATTACATGCATGGGGATGACAGTGCAGACACGCACAGCACACACTGCTGCCCCTTCCAAACGAAACTGGTGTCTGTCCAAGCTGTGGGAAGGGGCAATGCTCAGCAGCAGGAGCCTCACACCAACACGGGCCGAAACGTTTTGTAACATCTCTGGCAGTTACAGCTTGTAAGACAGGCATTGCACATGGTGCTAATGACACTTGACAACACTATCATAAAACTGCTGTAACGGACCCTTAACTAGAAGTCTCCAAGAGTGTTCGGAAAGCCCATAGCAAAACACTCCTGGAGTCCCTAGTATTACATACATTTTATTATTTTATTTAGCACTCACAGAAACAAAATATTCCCTCTTGGAGCATTTCTAGAAATGCCCAGATTTCCCAGGTGGGACTGATGTTGCTGCAGAAGTCAGGGCTCTTCCTTCTGCACAGACATGGGAGTCACTGCAAACACTGCAGTCACACATGAACACAGCACAGCAATGCTTACCTCTGACAACCTGGAGTTCTCATAGTAGATACCTTGCACTAAGTCACCAATGGCACTCGATATCAGCTCCACAACCTGCAAAAGAAAAGAAGCAAGAGAAGAGCTTGCATGTGTAGCTACCACCCGTGGCACCAAGCCACTGGTTATTCGGCAGCCCCTGTGGGAGGCAGAGGCTGCTCCTCTCCCCCTACCAGAGCCTCCACCGAGGTACCTCTCCCATCCACGTTTTAACTTAATGTAAATGCAAAGCAAGCTTTTTTTCCCCCTTTTTTCTTTTTTTAAATGTGAACTATGGAGCGCATTCTCAGAAGGCAATGCGCAGAGCTAATAAATCCCACTTCATGAATACGAGACAGCACCTCACCTGGATTTTCTGCTTTCTTTTTTTTCCTGACAAGTAAATACTTTGCAATACCTCTCATTGGGAGCTGTTAAAATTCACATCTTCACGGCTAATGTGGGCAAGTCAGAATCCATAGGAAGGCAACCTTTCCAACGTGATCATTTGGTATTGGGGTGCTCGGGGAATGCGCTGTGGATGTACTTAGTGCATGGCCTGAGGCTCAGCTGCACCACATACACTGAAAGGCTGCAGCACGGGAATGTTTAAATGAGATTTACCACTCTGCATCATCTGTAGGGTTCAGACTTTTCGTTTTATTCAAGCGAAGCCTAAAAGTCTGAACTTGGTGCAGAATGGAAAACAAGCCTGCCACGGTCTCCCTGGAACGACCGTACAACCCGGAGCCGTGCACACGAACTGGCTTAATTGGAACAAAATACTCACATTTACTGTAAAATTAAACTCAGCCATTTCAAATAAGCACACCTTAAGGCTACCCCTTTAGTTCCTCAGAAAGCTTTAATTTCTTGAATGTTTCATTTCCTATGCATATGATTCTATATCTGACCCCCCTTTTTGCTTCCTAAAAAATTCGGCCTAACTCTTATTGAATTAAAAGATTTAGTTTCAGTTTCTATCATTCTTGTAACTGAAGACAAAAAAATGAAATGATAAAACTCGTAACAGGGAGATATTTTAACATTTAGGCATATTTTATTTGATAATAAAAACACATTTGCATGCCAGTTTTGAGTACCAGCAGAAAGGTGGTTTTTTCCTTTTTTTTTATTTTTTTGAAACACTGGTTCATATACATATTCATATAGCAAAAGCGCTAACTTTAGAAACGGTGCTGATTAAAAGTCATGTTTTTTCTTGCAAGGCATATGGGTTAATTTGCAAGACCTATAAAAACAGCCTTAAAAAAAAAAAAAAAGAAATCATGTTGTCCTTTAGGAAACCAGATACCTAAGAAATATTGTAGCAATACGAGCTGCAGAGGAACTGAAAGGACAATGATCCTACAGTGTTACCAGATGTGTTGAGTTATTTAAGTGGGGAACAGAGAAAATGAGGGGAGTTTTTTCTTTTCTTTTTTTTTTTTATGGTATCAGATAAGCCCTATTCCCAAATCCAGGAGGATTGAGTATCGCCAATGGGTCTATGAAAGTCTGTAACTAAATGCTCGGGATCAGATTGTATTTCAGTTTATACAAGCAACATCCCAAGATTCCTCTGATGGCGAGGACACATAATACAGATCAATCACTCACTAAAAAATGTTATGGTTTGTGAAATGCTCTGAGCTCAGAGACCTACCCTGGTAATACGAAGAGGAATTTACAAAGACACCGAGTCCTACTCTAAATGTCAAAGTGATAGTATGAACTTTTAACAATGCATCTGGCTGTGGATAACTAGACCTTTTCCTCTCTTTCCTGAAACTCTAGACTGAGCAGGACCCTGTTTTGGGGTTTCTTTTTTCCTTCTCTCCTCTCTCTTTTTAGTGCAACTCTACTCTCAAAGGCAATTTTAACGGAGTTAAAACAATTTCAGGGAAAACATCGGTGAAGAATTGTACCTCTTCCTTTCGTAGCTTATAATACACCCTGGGAGAATACACATACTCCTTAGAAGAGAAGCCACACATTAAACACCATTAAGCGGTCAGCTATGTATCGTGTGCTACATATAAGTAAGAATTTAATATTAATATTACCTCCTTTCTTTCCAAAGTCCTTAGAATTCTATTTTTCTTATATATTTCTTTTCTTTCCTAAGGTAAAGTGCAAGGCCATGGAGATCCCTGCACGGGGTGAAATTCCATTTTCCAGAGCATACTGGGCTGCTTGCATGAGGCCCCTTTACTTTCCCAACCCTTAATCCCATCTGTGCAAAGCACCTGCATTATGCCCTCCACAGCCTGGGTTCTGCATGCTAGGGAAAGCCAGGACAAAGGAGGAGAGCAGCTATTTTTCCTGTGTCCCAAACTGACTTTGAGCTGGAGAAAAAGCACTAGGGATTCAGTAGCATTCATACAGTCGGTCCTATACCAGCTGGTTCTTACGCAGCCCTTTCCATCAAAGCAGGTTCAAAGGCTGATGAAGGGCAGCAAGAGGTGCCAGGTAAGGGCTGCTGTGGCCAAATAGCAGAATCTCCGAAAAGAGCAGAGGCGCTGCCCGTTCCACCTTGCCCTTCCCCACTCCCTAAAGGCCTTTTAGAGAACACGTCCCCCCACCCCTGGCTGCTGGAGAGGAGCAGGGGTAACTTCCTACTGACAGGAAACAAATTTCCATCCTATTTGTCATTCTTCACTCGGCATCAGGACCTTGCAAAGTGGTGTGGTCACCAGCCAGGTGGCCACCCTGGTCCTCGCAGGTGACAAGGAAAAGTGCACAACATTCCGAACCCTTTAAACACATCTTTTGCTAGTTATTTTTTCCCTTAAGTATTTTTTTTTACATCCTACTACAGTGCACTTGGTATAGACGAGATCTCTGTCACATCTACAGCTCTGTCTGTAAGGAACAGCCACGTATTTTAACATAAGGTGATTTTTTTTTTTTTTTTTAAACAAGACTAAAGAGGCTTTATGGATTGAACATTTAGGTAGGATCAGGAATTTTCTTCCAAGCTAAAAGACATGATTACTGTTCCTTAAAAAGTAGGAAAAACAGACTCCGGAGCACTCATTCTTCATAAGAGTCCTAAATCTCACAGTTCTACAAACAAAAAACAATAAATTAAAAAAAAAAGGAGATACTAAGTTTAACAACTCAAAGACATTGTCTTTGAAATACTTTAATATTTGTCTTCGAATATGTGTATTTAATTTCACTGCAATGTAACTCCAAATTTATATACTTTTCTTATATTTTCTTTTTTTTTCATTCAATGTGATTTAGTATTTATTTTATTTTTTAACTCTGCAGCTGAACTGGCATTGATTACACAGACTGCCCTACTCAGAACAATCCGTACAGCACATCTATGGGATATTTTTAAGTGGAATGGCATGGAAAAGATGGAGTTTTTGTCTCGAGTATGGGAAACAGCAATAGGACAAGCATGGCAATAAATCTCATCCTTTTTCCTTTGACAAGGAACAATTTGAAATTTCTCAACTTGACAAACTTCCTTGGCTTTGCCAAATTCCTTTCAGGAAGGATCACAAGAAATCCCCTTCCATAATCATTCCCTTCTTTACCTCTTTGGGGTGCTGGTCATCTTTCCCTGCACCTTTGCTGTGGTAAACTCTACTCCTTGCTCCTGATGCACAGGCTTGAAAAAGTAACAAGTCTTGATTTCAACTTCTTTTGGATTCTCTTTTTCTTTCCCCTTCAAAATTGTTAATTTTTAGAAACTTTTCCACACTTGAGAAGCCCATAAAAGCCCTTAACAGCAAATAAACTCTTATATTTATGACACAAAAAAATTGCACAACTATGAAGGTGAAGATAAATCTAACTAATCGGGTGAAATTGGATTTTGAATCTCCAATACCATCCCCCTCCCCCCAAAAAAAAGAAAAGCTAAAGAGACACTAAAGATGGCCAAGAACACTTAGTCACACAGGTGAAGAAATACACTAGCCTATAGGGGAAAAAAAAAAGATTGCAACCTTTTGGTTTTATTATTTTAAATCATCTTTTTTTTTAATAAAGTTGTCCTTCTTAAGTTGAAACACACAAAATGATAGGTGATTGCTATGCTTTCTAGCAATCTTATTTTACGCTGTTGGAAAAAAATATGTTTTTTTTTCATTCTATTAATGATGAATACAGCAAAACACAAGATGCAGTGTAGCATCACTCAAATCTGTGATTTGATAAAACCACTTCCTGGGCATAAAAAACACTGAAAATAAGCACTTGAATATTATTGCACTTGAATATTATAAGTGAATAATAAGTGAATATTATAAGTGAATAAGTGAATATTATAAGTGAATATTATAATATTCAATATTATTAAATATTATAAGCACTTGAATATTATTAGTATTTTCAAATACCTTAAATTTACTTTAGTGATTTTTACCAGTGTTAATTTACCCCTTTTATGCTGATGCAACATCATCCACAGAGTTTTCGCTACTGGAACGATCTTTATTGCAGACTTCAGCTATTTTTGTTAATGAAAAGCAACAACAACAGTTTTATCTTGCCCACTGCCACATGGCTCTGTACACGGTGTATTAATATCCCTGCAGACCCAGTAAACAGATCCTTGCCCTGAAGCACTCAACTGTCGATTGCAACTCAGGTTGCAGAAACATGTGATTTCTTCAGCTTGACCCTTCTGGAAAGGGTTAACTATTTCATTGCTCAGCTCAGATATAAAAGCGAGAATTAAAAAGTTCCACCACTACAGGGCTCTGTAGCTACAAGACCACCCCCATCACAAAAAATAATAAAAAGCAGTAAAAATGCAAGACAGCAGGGTAAAAAATATTTCTGTCCACACTTGCATAGACAGCCATTAAACTTTGCTATGCTCCCCAATGATCCCAAACAAATTGTGGGTTAAACCCACCAAGAACCCTACAGCTCAGCGTTGACAGAAATGATACCTATCTAGTATTCACTATTTCGCACAGAGAGTCTCTGAAGCACGAGCAGCAGTGATGACACTCCAGGCTCCAAGTGAAATGCTGCCCAATCTCCAACTGCTCCTGGTCTGCACCACACAAAGGATTAGTTTCCTTGAGCGCCAATGGCATATGAAATAC